TGATTTTTGGTTGTTGTTATCAAGTCACAGCTGACGTATGGTGACCCCCCCCCCTTGGGTTTTCAAGACAAGAAACATTCAGAGGTGGTTTGCCTTTGGCTGCCTCTGCAGAGCGACCCTGGACTTCCTTGGTGGTCTCCCATGCAGGTACTAACCAGGACGGACACTGCTTAGCTTCTGAGATCTGATGAGATCGGGCTAGCCTGGGCTATTATGATTACTACAGTATTGTTATAGGATTCAAGACTGGGGGGAGGGCTGTGCTGCCCCAGTCAGCGTTATCTGTAGTTTAGTAAAACTGCTCTGTCTCTTTAAGACTTGTTGCACCTGGGAATTGGAGTCCACAGTTAGGTGTCACAGAAGCTTCCCTCTGACTGGCTCATTAAGAGTAATTTCCTGAGCTCAGAGGCGCAAAGATAGGAGTTTTATTGTTCTTTTCCGTTTCTTTGTCCATCAACCCTTACTGCAAGGAGAGGGGAAGCCCATCTCTTTCTCACCACGGTGATAGAACTGACCTAGATCACAAGATGTAACTTTCCACCCAGATATCAGCTCGATTGTGAGTAAATGATCTTCTGAATGCGTGTGAAGTTAAATAAAGATGATTTAAGCTCTCCCCGTAGTCGTGCGTTGACTCACACCTGGAAAGCGTTTGCCTCAGCTGCAAGCTCATGCTAGACAGGACAGTGAGATACAGTAGCAACACCTGGGAAGTCATTCCTGTCATTCTGAAGTATTGATAGCCTGTGCAGACCTGGAGAAGGCCAAGCCACTGAACTTCTTCTAAATAAACCGGAACTTTGGAAGGACCCCATTTTTCAATGCTCTTGCTCTTACAAACAGGAAATGCCACCATCCAGAGGTCAGGCAGGTGGCGAAGCAGAGCCAGGCCAAGACGTTTGCATGCCTGGGAGAGCAGCAAAGGTCGTTCCCGCGCCTCGCTCATCCAGGTGGGGCACAATCCACTGTGAACATTCTCCTGCACAGGTCCCATCACAATGAAAAGGAGAGAAGAGATTGGATTTACACCCCGCCCTTCACCACCCGAAGGGGTCTCAGAGCAGCTCACAATCTTCTTCCCCTTTCCCTCCCCACAACAGACACCCTGTGAGGTAGATGGGGCTGAGAGAGCTCTCTCGAGAACTGCTCGTGAGAGAACAGCTCTGAAAGAACTTATGACTGACCCAAGGTCACACCAGCAGCTGCATGTGGAGGAGTGGGAAATCAAACCCGGTTCTCCCAGATTAGATTCAGTTCTCCATCGAAACACCACTGTTCACGTCAGTGGGGAGCTTCCTGGGTGATTGAGCCCGATAGCTCGAATCCACAGAATGAAAGTAAAAGACACACAGCTACCAGATCAAAGTTCAAGGAGAAATGCTGTGTTCTAGGCTCCCTAGTGGGTAACTACATTCTATATCCCTTTAAATAAAATATATTTATTATGAAACTTCAGATGCTCTCTTTTGCTATCTAATTTATTATATACGTATCTACTATATGTAAGTTTCATCAATTCATAAGCTCAGAGTGATTAACTAGAAAATGTTCTGAACACATCTCCAAGGACAAAGCTTCAAAGTATCATCAATCAATATCCCAAATTACAAAACTTCAAGGCACAACCCAACAATATAGTTTTGCACTTAGTAAACGCTGTCCTTAAGTTTTATCCTCTGAAGTCAGGCAACAGTCCCTCTAGAACAAAACAGTCCATCACCACCCGAAGGTGTCTCAGAGCAGCTCACAATCTTCTTCCCCTTTCCCTCCCCACAACAGACACCCTGTGAGGTAGATGGGGCTGAGAGAGCTCGCTCGAAAACTGCTCGTGAGAGAACAGCTCTGAAAGAACTTGTGACTGACCCAAGGTCACACCAGCAGCTGCAGGTGGAGGAGTGGGGAATCAAACCCGGTTCTCCCAGATTAGATTCAGGTCTCCATCGAAACACCACTATTCACGTCAGTGGGGAGCTTCCTGGGTGATTGAGCCCGATAACTCGAATCAACAGAATGAAAGTAAAAGACACACAGCTACTAGATCAAAGTTCAAGGAGAAATGCTGTGTTCTAGGCTCCCTAGTGAGTAACTACATTCTATATCCCTTTAAATAAAATATATTTATTATGAAACTTCAGATGCTCTCTTTTGCTATCTAATTTATTATATACGTATCTACTATATGTAAGTTTCATCAATTCATAAGCTCAGAGTGATTAACTAGAAAATGTTCTGAACACATCTCCAAGGACAAAGCTTCAAAGTATCATCAATCAATATCCCAAATTACAAAACTCCAAGGCACAACCCAACAATTCCTCAATATACAATATAGTTTTGCACCTAGTAAACACTGTCTGTATGTATTATCCTCTGAAGTCAGACAACAGTCCCTCTAGAACAAAACAGTCCACCAGGTTTCTCAATGAGGTCCCAGTAATTTCTCTTGTTTTGCATAATAACTTCTTTAAGGAAAATTCATCCGTGACTTTCTAATGGTCAAAAGGCATTTTCAAGGCTGTTATCACAAAATGGACTTCTCCCAGCACCGGTGAACACCAGTCACCAATGTTCCCTCTAAGCTGTGGAGTCTTGTGAGCAACAATTCTACTTTCATTAAAGATGTGAGCGAGTGATTTGGCTTATTGCATAAATTAGCTTGCTCTGGAGCCATTCTTCCTGAGCTAGGATAAAAATGTGTGAGCTGGAGGCTAAAAAACTGTGAGCTAGCTCACACTAACTCAGCTTAGAGGGAACACTGCCAGTCACATACGATCCTTATTATAATTTCTCTGTACATTTATATGGTTGGTGTAGGTCCTCTCATTTTGAGCTTATGAACTGATGAAACTTATATATAATAGGCCCTGTTCACACGGAGCATTTGCTGCGCTGAAGGCACGATCGTCCCACGGATTTTCCGGGCGCAATCACACCGGAACATCTGGGAGGCGCAGCGCACCCATGGCTAACCCGTGGCTTCTCGCTGAATATGCGGAGTAAAAAACTACCACATACGAGGTACTAGTTTCCGGAAAACGCGGGGCAAGGGCGGGCGTCTGATTGCGTTTCTGCATGAACCCCGTGGCATCCGGCGCCCGTCCATGTCCCGTTGCAAACTGAATGGTTGTTTTTTTTGTAAGTCTCCACAGGATGCGCACAAACGATCATGCGCATGGGCAAACTTCTGTGAGAAAAAAATTCCCGTTTGCCACAGAAGCGGCGCCTAGCGATTGCCGGTGTGATCATGCCGCGCCGCTTCTTTGCCGCGCTGCAGGATAGCCGTGTGATCGGCACCTAACAGCCTAACCATGGGACCTCGACGGGACATGTGATCGGGCTGCTGCGCGTTACTTTGCTCCGGGGCTAACAGCCACGCTCCGTGTGACCGGGACCATAGATACATTATACATACAGAATAAAATAGATAGCAAAAAAGAGCATTTAATCATAAATATATTCTATTTAGAAGAAGCGAGAAGAAGAGATTCGATTTCTACTCCGCCCTTCACTACCCAAAGGAGTCTCAGAGTGGCTTACCATCTCCTTTCCCTTCCCCTCCCCACAACAGACACCCTGTGAAGTAGGTGGGGCTTCGAGAGCTCTTTCATGAACTGCTCATGAGAGAACAGCTCTGAAACCACTACTGACCCAAGGTGACTCCAGCAGCTGCATATGGAGGAGGGGGGAATCAAGCCCGGTTCTCCCAGATTAGAGCCTGTGTGCCTAACCACTACACCAAACTGGCTCCATTAAAGGAATATAGAATATAGTTACTTACTAGGGAGCCTAAAACACAGCATTTCTCATTGAACTTTGATCGTTCAAATCTGCACGCTCTTACCCACTCTGCCACCTTACTGATACCCAGAACCAACTGCCTGAAGTTGCCACCTCGCCCTACATCATAATGGGTACAACTGGAAACGATTACAGTCCTGGGATGTAATACTTGTGAAGATCTAAACTTTCAAGCACTTGAGAAGTGTGCCAGCAACTTTACAGTCTCACCCACCTAGCCTACTGCTGCTCAGCTGCATACTGGGTGGAAAGGGGGGGGGGCAATTGGCATTATGGCCATGCCATTACACAGGGCTTTTTTTGTAGAAAAAGCCCAGCAGGAACTCATTAGCATAATAGGCCACACCCAGCAGCAGAAACTCATTAGCCTATCCAGCCACACCCCTGACAGCATAGCTCATTAGCATATTAGGCTGCACCCCCATGTTACCATAAGTGTGGTCATCCAGCCACACCCACCTTTTGATTCTTATTCTGTTTACCTTGTTTGTTGTCAAAACCAAGGGATTTTTTTGTAGCAGGAACTCCTTTGCATGTTAGGCCACACACCCGTAATGTAGCCAGTCCTAATGAGTTCCTGCTGTTGGGTGTGGCCTGTTATGCTAATGAGTTCCTGCTGGGTGTGGCCAACTTGGGAGCCAGCCGGAACTCCATTCCTGTGCATTTCTGCCCCCAAATAGCCCTGCCATTACATCACATTCAGGGGGCCCTGGAAGTGATGTCATCACATCGGGCAACGCTCTAGCTTTCACCCACAACTATATGGTTAAAAATAGAGATTTGGGTGAATTCTACAGTGTTGCCAGCAACATAATGATGCCACGACACCATGGGCAAGCCCTGCCTGTGAGTGAGTCTCCCGTCTGTTGCCAGACTCATGCTGGCACCGCTATCAAAAATATAGAGAAGCTTCTACATCAGCACATTGCAAACCTTTTGCCAGCAGCTATCCACAAGGGTCACTACAAGCAAATGCCTTCAGTGGTCGCTTCTGTCCCTGTAGCAGGGGGGTGAGAAAGCTTGTAGCTCGTATGCCGCAAGCTGAAATATTTTCACCACTTTTGCATGCTATGCCAGGGCACCATTAAATCTGGAAATAGCCACACAGAATTACTATAGGAAGGAGGGGGCATTTTATAAATGTAGCCATTGAGACCAGATCCTGGATATTGAAATAATTCTGTTAACCAAACATGTACAAATACTATAAGCAATCTGTTTTAATTATTGTACTGTATCGTTGGAAGAGGTCACTTGAGCGTGTAACACTGAGAATTGAATTAATGATCTTTTTCTCAGGAAGTCATGCAGGTGATAGATGGGAGCTTCCAGAGACAGAAAATAAAAGAAGCAGCTACAAGGAAATAAGCTGAAAGGGGCTTTAAGAAGAAACCAGGAAGCTCTTAGGAGCTGACGGAAGATAGCGGGCAACATGAGGCCGTTTGCAATGCTGTGGACCTGGGCTCCAAACTTTCTTCTCTTGCGTTAGCCCTATAGACCAAACTCAGTGCCAAATGAGTCAGTGGGGTGCCGTGGGAGACTGAGACGGTGCCCCGACATGGCCTGGGGCTATTTGTCTTCTTCTTCTGCCGGCTGCCGGCTCATGACCTCTGCGATCCACTCTACATAGTTGGCCACCTTGGTGTAAAGCGCGTAAGTGCCACATTTTGGTCCCCAGGAAACTAGGCCAGCGACGTAATAGCGTGTCTCCTCACGGGGGTCAACAATGGCATAGGCCCCACCGCTGTCCCCGGAACAGCTGTCACTTTGGCCATCCCCGGCACAAATCATATTGTCTGTGAATCTGTAGGTTGAGAGGTCCAGAGGAGATTCGGGCTTTACTCTTCGGCACTGCTCCATGTTCACCACTGGGATCCAGGCTTTCCTGAGTACGACACTCCTCGATCTGTCTTCTGTCCTGCCCCACCCAGTTATGTAGCCCAGTGTCCTCTCTGGGGGGTCATATTCTGGGGATGCACCAGGCAAGCAGATGGTAGAGACGGTGGGACCCATTTTCACAGGTCTCTTCAGCCTCACCAGAGCAATGTCATTATCAAAGTCTGTCCGGCTGTCCGGGATGCTCCAGGAGCTGCTTTCCAGCCGGGGTGAACAAACACCTCGTCCACAACTAGTGGCTTGGCAGTCTGCATGGTCTGTGGGCCAACTGTGAGCAGCCCAGCATACATGGTTGGGTTCCAGTTTTCGTCCAGCACGTGAGCAGCTGTGAGTACCCAGCGGTCGGAAATGAGAGCCCCGCCAGCTCGTGGGTTGGCAAAGAGGATCTGCCAAGGGAAGTTTCCATGCTCAGCCCTTGTGCCTCCGAAAATCCTTCCGGTATTTTGGATGGGGTTACGAGGGACTCCACAGACTAGAATGACAGGGCAAACATTTAAATGTGCAAGTCACAGAAAAACAGATGAAATGACCCAGACCGCTTATATTTACTGTATGTCTGTGTGTCAAGTGCCGTCAAGTTATGGCAACCCTGCAGGAACCCTGCTGTCAACTTATGGCAACCCTGCAGGATTTTCCTGAGCCTGCTTTGCAGGGAGGGCGGGGTATAAATGTGATAATAAATAAAATTAATTAATTAAATAAATACATAAGAGATGTTCGGAGGTGGTTTGCCATTGCCTGCTGCTGTGTAGCAACCCTGGACTTGGTGGTCTCCCCAAATACTAAACAGGATGACCCTGTTTAGCTCTGGAGATCTGATGAGATCAGGTTCCCCTAGGCTACTTATTTACTAGACTAGGAAAAAGGCCCGTTGTGGAAATAAATACAACGGCCTTTAGAAAGAGGCTCTGGCTGTCTGAGGTCCCACGCCTCCTGAAACCTCACCCTCTCCAGGCTCCATCCCTCATATCTCCAGAAATTTCCCACCTGGAGTTGGTAACCCTATCTCTTTCCCAGCCAATCATCAACCTACCTTTATTTCCCCCTCACTCTTCAGCTTTCTACCCCCCACACACCTGCAGCCTCTCCCGTGCTCTGAAGCCCTGACTGCTATGTCACATTGGCTGTCATACGGGGGCCACCTCAGCAGCATATAAGGATACAGAGCCCACCATTTTCTCCAGGGGAACTGATCTCTGCCATCTGGAAAGCAGTTGTAATTCTGAGTGATCTCCAGCCCTCACCTGGAGATTGGACACATTTTACCTCAGAACAGCAAACTGTTTAGAATGTTAGAGGCAAAAGCCAATCAAGTCGCATATGCAAACGACCTCTGTGTTCCGAGGCAAAGGCCAATGAGGCTGCATATGCAAATAACCTCTGTGTTCTGACTGGGTATGGGGGGAAGAGGAACAGCAAACTGTTTAGAATGTTGGAGGCGAGACTCCAGCAATGCAGCCAGTGGATAGGGACAGATACTGAGTGACACACCAGGGCACCAACCAATTCCGGAGCGTGTGGAATGTTCTAGAAAAGTGCTTTTATATATAATGGAGATGGTTGAAAATAAAAGGGTATCCGGTGTGATACCTCCAGGGACGGGGCTCAACCTGCCCTCTGCCCTGATTTACCCAGTTCCTGGGCTCACATGCAGTGCCAGGTATCCGTGTGATCGATGGACACCTGTCTGGGGCATGGAAGCTCTCAGAACTTACAGAGACCCACTAGAACTCTAACCCTCAGCCCTACGACTGCAAGTACCACGGGATGCCATCAACTGCACTGAGGACAGAGCGCATTAGGATCAGGGAAAAGGCTGCTGGGTACTAGTTTATTGGGAAACTCTGGATGGCCTGGGATCCCCTTTTGGGCTACCCTTCTTGGCGTGGCTCAGTGGTTCCCCAGGGTTCTGTTACCCCCTTCTGGTGCCCAGCCCTCCCAAACCTGTAAGGTGGGAACGTTCAACAAAGTGGTTAGTAACAAGGGCCATCCGAAGGACTAATCGACTGGCACTCTTGCAAAGAGATCTGGATGAAGAATGACCGCGGTTGCTCGAATCCCAAACAGTTAAAACCAATTAGATGCAGATCCCTGACACAATTGTTTTTAACCATTATGACTGACGGAACTCTCCTGGTAGTTGAAAAGAGGATTTTAACATGTTGTGGGGATCTTCTTTAAACTAGAAAGGTGCAGCGGTGAGGATACCTTTTGTCCAACAGAGACTTGAGATTAGTCAAGAGGTGGCCGGGGGGTGGAGGGTGGGGGAGAGAAAACACAAATGTAGGCATGGTACCTGGGATGCAGACGGGAAGTTCTGTTTTCTGGTTTTCATCCACCCATTGCCCTGCGGCAGAACACCGATAAATCCCTTTGGAAATAAAGAAGTATCGTGATTAGTTCATTGCTGTCGTTTGTTCGTTTTTAATCCATGTAGTATATCCAAACAGTTCAGTGGCCAGCAGACAGGTCAAGATCCACTGGAGGATCACAAGCCAATTTGTAGTGGGCTGTGCGGATGGTTGCCTAGGATTCTTACAAAGAATGAGGGACTAGACAATAGGGTTGTCACCAGCAGGGGGTTTGGGAGGGAGTAAGGTTGCCAGATCCAGGTTGGGAAACTCCTGGAGACTTCAGGATGGAGCCTGAGAAGGATGGGGACCTCAGTGGGCTACGATGCCACAGATTCCGCCCTCCAGAGCATCCGTTTTCTCCAGGGGAACGGATCTCTGTAGTCTGGAAATGAGCTGTAATTCTGGAGGGTCCCCAGGTCCCACCTGGAGGCTGGTTCCTGCTCGACACTTTGATCTAACCCAGCAAAACATGTTCTTAAGCAGAAGAACATCGTCACCTAGCACAAATTACTTATGCTGTTAACGTTCTTGTATCAATTTAAAGATCACTGGTGGACCGTGGAGTATTCCAGTAAGCAAAACAAAACAGGTAGGCCCCACAAGACCCAGGCCAGCCCAACAGGATCTTCGGAGATTGTTTCACAAGGGAAGCAACACATTGTGGTGGAAACTTAACATCGGCCCTGTCCACACGAGAGGATTACGGCCGGGAGAGGGACGGAACGGGGGCGGAGCAAACGGGCGCGATCCCACCGCAACATCTGAGAAGCGTACCGTGTCCGTCCCCGATCCGGCCCTTCCAGCGATGATCCGCTGGCCGTGGGATCGCCAGCGTGATCTTTCGCCGGCGCATCCCCGGCTCCTTGCCGAACTGTGCATGCTCCAACACGCACAGTTCAGCAGACTCCTGTGCCTTTCTCCCCGTCTCCCCGGCATCTGATCGTGCCGGGGAGCAAATGCACAGCGGCTCAGGGGATCTGTATGATCCCGCTGCGGCATGTCTATTTAGGTGCAGCTTTTGAAAAGCTGCACTTTGGCCATCCCTTCTTCCCTCGTGTGGCAGGGGCCAGAAGAACATAAGAGACGCCAATGTTGGATCAGGCCAAAGGCCCATCCAGTCCGACACTCTGTGTCACACAGTGGCCAGAAATACCAGTGCCATCAGGAGGTCCAGCAGTGAGGCCAGGACACTAGAAGCCCTCCCACTGTTGGCCCCCCCCAAGCACCAAGAAGACAGAGCATCACTTGCCCCAGAGCCCCTATCTATACCTTGTGGCTTATAGCCACTGATGGACCTCTGCTCCATATGCTTATCTAATTCCCTTTTGAAGTCGTCCATGCTTGTAGCCGCCACCACATCCTGTGGCAGTGAATTCCATGTGTTCATCCCTCTTTGGGTGAAGAAGGACTTCCTTTTATCCGTTCTAACCCGTTCCTTTTAGCCGTTCCTTTTATCCGTTTAACTTCAAGGTTAAAAAAAATGTTCAAGGTAAAGAAAACATTATTGCATCCCTAGACCAGGTATGGGTCTGTACACAGCAGGATGTTTGTGTGTGTATGCATTCCAGAGGTTTGCAGCGTGTTATGTTTTGCACTGAAGGCCTAAAAACACATTGAACTGTGTCTGGATACACCACATTGGGGAGAACTGGTATGTTCAGGTTAGGCTGACAGCCATCTTGTGTGTTTGGGGGGGAATAGGCCAGAAGTTTTACAACAATGTTAAAAAACCCGCTTATACATTGCCCCAGTGTCTTTGTGAAACATCTGGGAGCTTTTCACGCATTTTAGGTGGCACCATATGGCAGCTCCCCTCTTAACTGTTGGATTCAGGGCTGGCCACACCTTATACTATTTTCAGATCCGCCCATCCACTGGCACCTCCTCTCCTCTTGCCCAGACAAAAGAGCCAATCCTGGCTTTCCTTTGCCTCCTCAGTGTAGGAGGCACTTCAGAAGAATGCTGGAAGCACCATCTTTGTCTTTGCAGGGAGGGGGGCATCCACTGAGAAATACCTGCCCCCCATCCTAGGGAGATGTCTGGGTTGGAACCTCCCGGCATTTTGTGAATGACTCACCAGGTAGGCCTTTTGTGCTGGTGCCAGCTACTTGTTTTTAACATTTAGAAAGTGCCCACATGTTTACAAAGTTGGGTATCCATGGAATCAGGGGTCATTTCCTGCAGGAGCGCACAGGAGCAGAGCTCCAGCAGTAAAGAGGCCAGGGGGCGGGCACATCCAACAAGCCCCACCCCCTGCTCCCAGCAGCCCTCAGTCAGAGCAAGAAGCAGCCAGGTACGACGATCCTGCCAGGAAATAGAATTCCCCCGCCGGCATTTGGTAAGCCTAGGGTTGCCTTCTCACACACTTCCGGTGATGTCAGGGGTGTCTGGCATATACAAATAAGTTATGCTAATGAGTTATGCTAATGAGCTCCTGCACCACTTTTTCTACGAAATGACCCCTGCATGGAATAGTCTTTTTGAGACCTGAACAGACACTGTATACAGTATATAAATAAGGGACCCACTGTTTCCGTTGTTCTTCGGTGCGTAATATGTATGGCAGTCATAGCGGATTTCGGCTTGATACTGAGTCTTGTCAGGTCCTGTTATGTAATGGACATCTGCATTCTCAACGTCATCAGGCACCCCACATTCTACAGCTGTAAGAAAGATCAATATAATGTTAAGAACAGCACCCTCACTCTGCCGTCTGCTCCAACCAGTATGTACAGTAGCCCTGTGCACATGTCCTGCCCACATATCCACTCACTGCACAGGAAGGGAAAGCGGGTATAAGCATACTGGCCAAACTCCCTGCCTCCACTCAATTGCGGAGTGGTCTGCACATGGTGAATGCATGGAGGAAATGAAGGATTATTTGGGTAGCAGAGTGCTCAAGGCACATAAGGCAGTAGAGCCTATCTAGTTGGTGTGTGCTGACAGGAAACAAAGTTACACAGGGAACTAATATGAAACTAATATAACTAATATAAAATTAGAATCCTATCTCTAGTCTATCCAGTCTAGAATGGAGTTCCTTACAATAAAGGACTCATATTAATTTTATGAGTCCTTTATTGTAAGGGACTCCATTCTAGACAGGAGAGATTAAGATAGGATTCTAATCACATCTAACTAGCTAGGATGGACAGAGATGCAGGAAGCATGACCTACCCTCATGGGGCCAAGAAGGAGAAGGCTGGCACAGTGTGGAGAGAAGGTGTCAGACTGGAAGGAAGATTCCCTGAGAGTAGCAGTCTGCACATCAAAGGGATAGTATCAGAGAGTAACAGGAAGGATGATCAAGGTCCCGGCCTATCTACCCCTCTGATTCTCTTACAAGCCCCCTCTGAAGTTTGAGGCTGAGAGACAGCGCAAAGCTCTTCACTTCCAACAGGAAATGCCTGTGTGCACAGCTTCCCCTAATGATCTGCAAGGTTCCAAAAGCTGCATTGCTGATCATGGGGAGAGAGTGTGTGTGTGGGCACCTCCTCTCCGTGTTAGCCCTGTTCACGCCACACAGCGATCATGTGGGGACAGGGATTGGGGCTAGCAAACGTGTGCCAGCTCCCCCTCCTCGTGAGGTGCATGAACACATGGACAGGACATCTGCACAGGGCTACAGCTATGACTGAGCACAAGTTTCCATTATTCCCCCTCTATGTTGCAGTCATGGACGATGCTCCCTCTAAGCTGTGGAGTCTTGAGAGCAGAAATTCTACTTGGCGAGCGAATGGCATTAAAGTTGTGAGCGAGCGGTTTGGCTGCTGCATAAGAGTTAATTTGCTCTGGAGCCCTCCTCCCTGAGCTGAGACAAAAAATGTGTGAGCCAGAGGCTAAAAAACTGTGAGGTAGCTCACACTAATTTAGCTTAGAGGGAACACTGGTCATGGAGTGATTTCTCAGCACAGAGTATCACCACCACCACCACCACCACCACCACCACCACCATCATCATCATCATCATCATCATCATCATCATCATCATCATCATCATCATCATCATCATCATCATCATCATTTTACAGAAGATGTATCCCGCCTTTCTGCCCCTACAAGGAACACCAAGGTGGCTAACAGTTTAAAACATACGTGATAAAATTATACAGGAAGGAAGAAACTAAAATCCCCCCCCCCCCCAAACACATAGTTAAAAGCCACCAAAAACATTGCTAACACACACACACACAAAACACATTGATTACGAAGCAGGGATCATTGAGAAAATGCCAAATGGAAAAAAAGAACCTTCACCTGTCAGCGGAAGACAGCACCAGAAGGGGACAGACAGATCTCCCTGGGGGGGAGAGCTCCACAGCGTTGGTGCCGTGACCAAGAAGGCCCTGTCCTTGGTCACCACCTGCCTAATCTCAGAAGGTGGGAGCATCCAAAGCAGGGCCTCCAAAGATGACCATAATGGTTGGCTGGGTCCATAAGGGATTAGGTGGCCCTTCAGGTAAATTGGTCTGAAGGTCAACGCCAGCAACTTGAATTGTGCCCAGATTCAAATCGGGAGCCAGTGTAGATGAGGGCAGGACCGGAAGTGATACGGTCCCTATGACCCACTCCGGTGAACATCCTGGCTGCAGCTCCCTGTACCATTTGAACGCTTCTAAAGGGCAGCCCTACGCAGAGTAGCCCATCCCTAGTTAGGGTTGCCAAATCTTCTTCCCCCCGCGGCGGGGGAGCGTCGCCGCGGTCCTAGTATTTTTACTTTGTTGTCAACAAACTCAATACCTATAACCCTTGTGTTTAGGTAAACTTAAAAATGAGCTAATGCAAAGAAGTAATGGCGTGTGTCCCATTTAATTATATCATAACAATATCACAACTAGGCATTGCAGTATGGTCAAAGAGATATGGTTTAGTAGTCTAGTAATTTTAAGTATAAAGAGTTTTGGGGTTGAGAATCTGAAGCTGAGATATATTCCATGAATGGGGTCCATTTCTGCTATGTTTTGATAATTTTACCTTTTATGTTTTGATACTTTTACCTTTTATTCTTTTCCCTTACCCCTTACCCCTTTTCTTTATTCTGTATTCCCTCAAAAAGTTCAAAATAAAATTTTATTTTAAAAAAAGGAATGCGCATATAAATCAACTCAGCCAAAAAACAAGACACATCTCAAAGGACTGTGTTTATAGTTTCTTAATTCTAGCTGTACAGTATGGAAATGGCCATCAATTTGATCTAGTGATTCATTCTCCACATCCGACGCCATGTAATATTTCTGGGTCCGTAGAGAGACTAACAGAATGAGAAACAGCTTAAAACAACTTTACAATGAAAAACAGCTAAAACATCTTATGCGATAGCCACTAAGCCTTCTTCTAGAACTAACTGAAGCTATGTGATTTTTAGGGCAAGTCCATAAATTACTAAGTTCCTTAACATTATTAAACATAAACGATTGTCACTAAACTGTAAACAATATAGCTGCCTTTCCATCAAATGCTTGGCTTACTGAAGTGAAAACACAGGTGATAAAAACAATATAAAAATAACATTCCGACTGAAACTGACTAAATCCCCAGGGAACATACACTTTACTCAAAAGCTTTCTAAAAGAGTTGCGTTTACAACTGGCAACACAGGACTATGTGGAGGATATTATTATTTGTAATTCTTGAGTTCCACAGTTCAGGTATGGCTGGAAGAAAGACCTCTTGCTAAAGGTCTTCACCACCAACACTGGACACCACCATGCCTTATGGATGAGTTTGCCTGACCAAATGGACCCTTCAGGGAGCTTTGGAGATACACCTGGATGGTTCAAATTGCTCATTAAAGAAGCAAGGAAGAAGGGCACATATATCAACTTCACAGTAGTTTTCACACATCTTAAATGGCCGAGTTAAAGAGCAGGGACAAGAGCCATGTGGAACAGGGGTGTAGTAATGAGAGGAATTAGTCATGACTGAGAGAAAAAACTGGCTGGATTCAACCCTGTAGAGAAGAGACAGACACTTGGTTGACATTCTGTTTCCTGAAGAGGCCGGGTGCTCAATTTAGTGCAACTTTAGAACCGAAATGTGGCCCGTCTCTTCAATGCGTGCTCGGAACTTCAGAGCAAGCACGGCTCCTTCCGCATTTTTCTCTGTTACACTCAGCATGGTCTCCTGGATCACCTGAAATTCCACTGGGGGAGATTAATACAGGAACTCAGCACTTACGTTCACATTTGAGGTGCGAATCCCTCCACTCTCCGTTACTTTGACAGCTCGAGTAGAAGGACGTGAAGCTGTTTTGTTGCTGGGGGAAAAGTCAGAGGTGTGAGAGCTGATTTACCACGAGAGAAAAATGTGTCAGAATTCAATTCCGTTATCTCACCAGGGGGATCTCAGGCATGTTACACCTGTCTTAGAGATGGTATCTATCTATCCCCCCCCCCACTGTCTCACTGAATCTAGCACGTCCCCTGGAATCTCTGGCAGCTGCCTCTGGAGCCTGGGCCCAGCGTGGAGCCCCGGGCTGTTTGGCAGCCACCACCAGGCCCAGCGTGGCCCCTACACTCTCCCTGGTCTACGTCGCTGCTCCTGAGCCCAGCATGGCTCTCGGGCTGCATAGTCACCACCACCGGCCCAGTGTGGAGCCCAGTGCAGTGCTGCTACTGCCAGGCCGGTGCAGCCCCCAAGCTCTGTGGCAGCCACCACCAGGCCCCGTGCAGCCCCCCAGCTTCCCTACCACCACTGAGCCCGATGTGAAGCCCCAGAGTGTTCATATGTTCACTTTCTAAAACAATTGGCTGGTGCCAGGGAAAGTGTTGGTATATGCCATGGTGCCCACGGACACTGCAATGGGAACGCCTGATCTTGACCGTAAGTGGCTTAGTGTCAGGGACCTGTCTTATTATTGGTTTTGGGGGGGGCAGTTTAAGTACTTCTTCAAAGCATTATTTAAACCATTAGTGATGAAACTGTATTTATTGACATTATAAAGAAAGGAAGCTAAAGCAGAAAGAGGCAGGGCCAAATAGGAACATTACAACTGATCAAGTCAGGATCTAGTTGGAGCACCTGAAGTTCTCAGAACTAAAGCGACACCCTGGAAATACTGCAAAACTAATTGTCATGCATCGCAGGGCTCCAACCAGCTGATCTTGGGTAGGCACTGGTTTGCTGCGAGGTGCATCACCTACATGTCAACCAGGGGTCATTTCCTGCAGGAGCGCACAGGAGCGGAGCTCCAGCAGCAAAGAGCCCAGAGGGCAGGCACATGCAACAAGCCCCACCCTCTGCTCCCAGCAGCCTTCAGTCAGAGCAAGAAGCAGCCAGGTAAGCTGCAGAGCCCCCTCCCCGGCTCCCCCGCCCAAAACAGTCCAGTGGCACCTTTAAGACCAAGTTTTGTTCAGGTGCAAGCTCTCCCTCCTCTGCGAGGACAGATCTGCACATCCCCCCCCCAATCGCTAGCAATCCAAAACAGTCCAGTGGAGCCTGAGCGGTGGGTGTTGCCTTCTGACACACTTAAGAACATAAGTTGCAATGTGAACCTTAAGGGAGTTATGGGATGGTTGTGAATGGTTGTGCGAGTGTATATGAGTATGGTTGTAGATCACCGAATGATTGCATCTTAATTTCGTTGTACTATGTACAATGACAATAAAG